AAAAATAGCTTTTACAAAGTAAGTTTAGTAACAGGTGAATTTTTACTATTAAACTTAGTAAAATAACTCTGTGGTCTCGATTTTACTAAGAAAATTTAGTAATAACCGCTATTGCAGCTTCAGTTTACTAAGAAAACTTAGTAATAACTGCTATCGCAGCTTCGGTTTACTAAGAAAACTTAGTAATAACTGCTATTGCAGCTTCAGTTTACTAAGAAAACTTAGTAATAACTGACATCGCAGCTTCGGTTTACTAAGAAACTTAGTAATAACCACCATCACAACTTCAGTTTTACTAAGAAAACTTAGTAATACCGCCATCTCGGCTTCGTAACTATTTTATTATTAAACAACGTTTCCGAAGCTGTAGAGATGTTTATTTACTAGGTTTCTTAGTAAAAAAAGTTTCCAAAGCCGCAGAAGCATTTTTTTACTAGGTTTTTTAGTAAAATAGCATTTTCGAAGCTGTAAAGGTGTTTTTTGACTATATTTTCTTAGTAAAATAGCATCTTTGAAGCTGTAAAAGCATTTTTTACTATGTTTTTCTTAGTAAAAAAGACATTTTCGAAGCTGCAGAGGCACTTTTTACTATAGTTTTCTTAGTAAGAATCACTTCTGAAGCTTTGAAAATAGCTTTACTATTGATTCGAATCAAATCAAATATTTGAATACTTGATTTGAATTTGATCGAATCGAATCAAATATTGATTTGGATTTGATCAAATAAATCATTCTTTGATTTGAATTTGATAAAATCAAATATTCAAATATCAAATCGAATTGCAGAACCTTAGTGATACCCATTCACCTAGGCTTAAGGCAAATTCACAATATACTAAAGAGGGTTATAGTGGTAATTATATATCATAAGTCGTATCATTCTGTTAAAGGGTATACAGCTAAACTTTACTATTGGTATATGCCTAATAAAAATATCAAAAAAATTGATTTTGATTATTTTGACCATTTCGGATATTCGAAATGATCTATTTTAACTTCAAGTATAGTTATAACTATAATTATAGACATTTTTACAGGTTAAATAGTATTTTATATAAGATATTTTAAATTTTTATTAATATATAATCTATATGATTTGATAAGATTAAATCTAATAAATTATATTTCAATTTTTTTTTCAAATTATTGGTTATTAAAATATAAATATTAAATGCTTATTAAATATATTAAATATTTTTAAAAAAAATTCTTTACAAATTATATTAATATCTGAATAAATATTAATTAACTTTATTATTTATCTATCTAATAAGTTAAATATTAAAAAAAATATCTAATTTTTTATAATACAAATTATTTAAAATATAATTTAACTTGAATAATATTAATCATTTTACCTGTTAAAGTTTTAATAATGCAAATTTATTTCTATTAAATATATAATATATTATTTATTTTATGATTAATATTTTGCATTTTATATTTTTTTTTTGCTAAATTTATTAGATATTTATTTATTTTTATTTGTATGTCAATTTCTTATAATTTTCTAATAGAATTTGAAAATAAACAAAAGAAAAAGATGTATAAAATAAGAATAGAGAGACATCAAAAATGGAAAAATGGCAGATTTGAAGTAAATGTTAATAATACAAAGAAAATCTAAATCACAAATATATGCATGTAAATTTTAAAGAATATAAATAAAGAAGCATTATTATTTATTATTAAATAAGTAACAGAAGCTTTAATTTACTTAGAAATTTTATTTACAAGAACAAAGATTTTTTTCTTTATTTGAACTTTATGATTAAGTTAATTATTAGAAAAATATTATCCCTTTCCTTAAATGGTAATGATTTTAATCTATAAACTTCAATAAATTATTATGCAATTTTTTAATATAAATCTATTATTTATAAATAAAATTTCATTTTTAATAATATTAATTATATACAAAAATTTTTAACCTTAAATTTATTATATTTTATAAATAAATATAATATATTTAAGTTTTTTTAATATAAATTTTATAAATTTTAGCTTTTAAAGAAAATACTTTTTTATATTTTTATTATACATTATATTATTTTTTGAATAATATATCTAAATTAACTTTAAAAGAAGTAAAATTCCTTTTAATTTGGAAGGAAACCATTGAAGAGATAAATCAAATTCATTTTATTTATTTATTTTTTTTTTAATCTTTGAAAAATATTACGCAAGCTGCGAAATATTTTTCATAGATATATCACCCAGACATTGATGATAAAAAATTATTTCATGATTGGATTGATGTAAAGACAAAATATTCTAAAGTTAATTTATTTATTTCAAAAAGATTAGTTATATCATTTATTCCGTGAAACATTAATTAATTACAAGATTTTAAGTAAGGTGTTGAAAAAATTAATATGTTGCAGAAGTCAATATTATTAAGTGATTACATGTAATAAAAATAAAAATAAATTATTGATTTTTTACTAAATTGTGCAGTAAGCAAGAAATATATGAAATTTTAATTTAAATTCTGTGTAACAAACATTCAATAAGAAGTCCTTCCGAATATGTTTTTCTCGGTGGAAAAGGTCGTAGTGGATGCGCAAGCACTAAATAAACTTTGACATTACATTGAAAAAAAGGCATATGGAACGGAATGGTCCACAATAATTCTTATTTTTTTTTTTGCTTTTCATTAAAAAAAAAAATTTAATAATAATAAAATTTAAAGTTCTTTAAATTTAAAAAATTTATGAAAAAAAATGCCGTACAACAGAAAAATAAAACAAATTCTAATTTTATAGGTGATTCGTCTATCAAATATTTACCAATCCTTAAACCTGTTAGAGAGTTTATTTTAATATGAAACTGTAACCATTTACATAGAGCATTGTCATATCTCACACGACATGTTCAAACAATCAATCCAGTAAATGGATGGCAAAAATGGAGTGGATTTTCACCTGATTGAAAACGATTTAATTTGTTGATTTTTAATCTAAACATGTTCAGTTTTATAGAACATTATCGAAAGTCGTCAATTAAAAGCATAAATTCATGTTACAAGACAGATATTTCTATTAAAAACTCGAAAACCTTGATAATTGTTTATTTGGAGTGCATCGTCGATCGGAAACAAATTAATTGGTTGTAAATCCTTTTTTTTTCATAAGGTCGCACTGTTCGACCTTTTTAGTAATAAATTTCCTTAATAATTGGTTAATTTATCCTCTTTCTGATTGATTCTTCCATTCATTTCGAAACGCAAAAGAATTTTAAAAAAGAAGCGAGAATAAGTCATGTGAAATTATTATATAATCCAAACCTATGAGTTTCAGATTGGCTGATCATTTTCTTTTTTATTGCGGAGTTCAACTGAGGAATTTCCGACTGGAAACTGGAATTTACCATCTTTTTACTGAAAATTCGTTCTTTATTAATTTATACATTTTCCTCCCCTCTCTTCATTTTCCTCCCAATTCCTTGTAAAACTGATAAAGAAAAAATATGTCATATAATTTTCATTCAGATTTATTAAAAGATTTTTATCAGCTACTTCAGACCGAAATTGATTATAATGTGGTAATCCAAGTCGGTAAATCCAACTCTGATGAAAAACACGTTGACGTTAAAGAGCTTCATCAAAATCAACCACCTATAATCGAAACGACCGTAATTCAAGATGAGCAAACAGATTCTAATAAAAAAGAAGTTGAACTTGAAGAAGGTCATGAGCCAAATGAAACCAAGCGAATTGAGGACAAACTTGAGACTATTGAAGAAGAAACCACTCTCACACTAGATGATGAAGACATTGAATCCATAACTTCAGTTGAACCCGAAGGGGATGTCGTAATCCAAGATGACCAAATGGATTCTGACTCTAAACAAGATGTTGATATTAATGAAACAACAATTGATGAAACCAAAGTTGAAACTAAAGTCGAAACCAAAATTGAAACTAAAGTCGAAACCAAAATTGAAACTAGAGTTGAAACCAAAGTTGAGACCAAAGTTGAAAACGACGTTAATAATGATGACGTAGGTCACGATCGGCAAACCGACTCCAAGCAGCAGCAGCAAGGCGGCAACTTTAAAGAATTTCATGTACATTCTAATATTTTGCGTATTAGGTCCAAATATTTTAGTAAAATATTTTCTAATAATGAGGTCGAGAAGAATGAAGACGGAATTTATTACATAAAAAGACCTAATATTGCTCCAGAAGCTTTTGAATTTATTCTCAAGTAAGATTGCTAAAGAAGATTTTTAAGCGTTCAAAGAACCATTATTAGTGATTGGCTAACGATTTCTTATGTTTTTTATTTTTATTTTATTTTATTTTTAGATATATTTATGGTGGAACCGTCGACATTACCAATAAAAGTGGAAGTGAACTTTTGAATATAATAGTTGCCTCAGATGAATTCTTGTTGGAAAATTTAACTAAAATTGTTGAAGATTACATTATTGAGAAACATTCTCAATACTTACGAGACGATCCGGTTGGAATTCTTCAAATTGCTTATCATCATAAATCCCTTGATAAGTTACAAGAATTTAGTTTGGAAACGATTTGCTTTGAACCACAAATTTTATTTAATTCCGATAAATTCATTCAACTACCCGCCCATATATTGGAAATCATTTTAAAACGAGATGACTTAAATTTGGATGAAATCGAAATATGGGAAAGTTTAATTAGATGGGGATTAGCGCAAGATAAAACTCTTAATCAAAACGTTTCCGAATGGCAACTAGAAGAGTTTCATACCTTTAAAAAAATTCTTCATAAACTAGCTCCATTAATTAGATTTCATGATATTTCTTCTAATGATTATGTTAACAAAGTTAAACCTTTTGATGAAATTTTATCCAAGGAGCTAAAGGATGATATTTTAAAATTTCATATGGCTACCGGATACACTCCAGCGTACAACACCATTTCAAGATCTGTTGAATGCGATAAAATTGATTCGGAATTAATTACCCAACTGCATATGTTACAATTTGCAAATTGGATTGATAGGAAAGAAGCAAACTCAAAATACATTAAAGCCGTTCCTTATGAGTTTAATCTTTTATATCGAGGCAGTAAAGATAAATTCAGTGCAAAATCATTTCATAAAAAATGTGACAAGAAAGATTCTACCATCATTATTGCAAAGGTTAAAAATTCAAATCAAATGGTCGGAGGATATAATCCGCTTAATTGGGGAGGAAATGGAGTCAAAGGTACATCTGATAGTTTTATATTTTCATTTGACGATTATAGAGATATTAATACGGGAGAGATCGGCAGAGTGGTAAATTCAGAATGTGCTGTCCAATGTCTCAGTAATTATGGTCCAATCTTTGGTTCCTACGTAACCAATTTGTCTGTATTCAAAAAGTCGGATAAAGTTTCCCCAGAGGATCAAAGTCCGGAAGTGGGTGGTAATGGTATAATGATGAGGCCAAATGGTAAATGGAGGTCCATTCCATCTTCCTATCCTAAATTGAATATCCCGAAAGAATTTGAAATTGATGATTACGAAGTATTTCAAATTATAAAGAAACCTGCGAAAAATACTTTAAAAACGAAGTAAATTATATATATAAACATTGTTAAATTAATTTATTGGGATTTTATGAAAGGATTATTATTTATTTATTTCATTATTTTTTATATATATTTATTAGTTATAGATTTCTTTTATAAAATAAATCATTATTGATTATATTTTGAAAATATAGCAATAAATGATTTTAATTTATTAATAAAATAATTAAGTATTTTATAAGGTCGGGCATGCGTCTATTTTTTTTTTTACCAGAAAGTCAAGTTAACATACAAGTCTAGAAGAGCCCACAGTTGCACCAGGCTCTGATTGGCTGGTATAATTAACTTATGTTATTTGTCACGTACTAAGGAGGTGACATATAAACATCACTACCCAAAAAAATTCTAAAGTCCTCAGATACTACCGGTATCATATCACTTAAACTCTAACCCTAACTAATATCAATTATACCAGCCAATCACCTTTGTGATAAAATTAGTAAACCAACATATGCATTGCACCTTTTGCAATTTTTCACATTTTTGCATTTTTCACGTGATCTTAAATCAAATTTACCATTTAAGGAATATTAATATTGGTTGATTATCACTATTATTTATTAATAAAATAGTTTCTAATTATCAAAATCATTTTTGTTTAGAAAGTTAAAGTTAATTTTTTTTAAAGATGCTTTTGTAAAAAGTAATTTAATAAGAAATTTAGATTATGCAATTGTCATACTAGATGAAAAAGTGTAAATTTAATTTAAAATATAATTGTAATATTTTGCTAAAGTAGGTTTTTCATGAAAAATATGCTAAACTTAGTTAGAAATGAAAACTAAATTCTTTTATAACAAAAATTGTTGAAGATAAGAATGCTTGCTTAAACCTTTTCAAAATTTTATGATTAGTTTCCAAATTTTAATAAGGATTTAATATATATAGTTTTATTATAGTTTCTTTAATTTCAACATTTACTATGAGTTTTATTTTTTTAACATTTAGTCATAATTTCAGCATAAGTAATTATAAGATTTTAATATAATTTCATTTTGAAAAGTAAAAAACCCTTTAGTTTTTTCACTAACCTAATTGATACATAAATCCATGTATATATTAAGGATGAAAGATTTTATATTCTGAAGTATTTTTATGATAAAAAATAGTAAAAATAAATACTGCAAATTTGATATATTCTTGAAAAAAATTTCAAAATAAATAAATATTTTATAGAAAAAAAGATTATTTTATTAAAATCTGAAAATTAAATGTATTTATAAGTTTTTTTTTGAACTTATTCCAATTATTAATAAAAGTTTTATTATATTCAAAATTACTTTGATGATATTTTGTTTATTGTCTAAGTTTTAGCTTGAATTTATGTTAAATACAGTGGCGATCATAAATAATGCAACAAAAAAATAAAATTCTTTAAATTTAAATATTTCTTTCAATTCTAGAGAT